GGGCGTTACATTTCCGACGCATGCTTGTGGTGTTCGGCCAATCACAATGCACTGGGTCAGCTGGCCAATCAGAGCAGACTGTGCTTGTCAAAGGAGGGGGCTTTGTTGAAAACGATGTGTTTGAGAGAGGCGGGGCATAGAGGACCTACAATAATGTACAGTATTTGAAAAATAATGTGTTTTTTGAACATTAAAGCATGTCAACTGTGGCGAGGGGGGCCGTGGTTCAGCGAGGTCTGCATCGAGAGAGAGAGGCAGGAGACGAGCGATGCGTAAGTAGGTCAAGCGCAAATAATAAACACCTGTGTCTTGTTTCAGTAATTGGTGTGGATAAAAGGGGCCACCTGGAACATGATGAAAGAGAGAGACTGACTGGGAACGCGAGCGACCCGGGGAGACGGGTGTAGATACACGGAAGCAAGTTGTGTTATGTTTGTTATGAGTTATTGACTGCGAGTCTGACAGCACTGAATGAGCGCCGCATTGTGGGTGGTGCAAGAGAAATTTAAATAAAGCTCGCGTCCCAGCAAGCCGACCCTGCCTTCTTCCTTCCACACTCTTGAACCTTTACTACAATAGCAAAGTCTCCTCTTGGCTTATATCGAAATCCTCCAACATTTTTCTTTACAAATCCTCACTTTGTACTTCTAATTCATGGCCAGTCTTTTGTTTTGCTCTCTCCTCTGCGCTTCCGCATTCTTCACTTCTCACCGGAGCTTAAGCTACACCTACGTCTTCCGCTGGACGCCACTCTCTCGTGAAACCAAATACGACAGTTAGTAGAAGCTAGAGATTACGGTTTATAAAGTTTTAAATCTGGATATATTTCTTTCAAAAATGCATCGCTTTATTAACCCCCTGGAGCAGTGTGGAGTACTTATTTATGATGGATGGATGCACTATTTTTGGGCTTCAAAATCTCGACAACCATTCACTGCCATTATAAAGCGTGGAAGAGCCAGGACATTTATCAACTCCAATTGTATTTATCTGAAAGAAGGAAGGCTTAAGGGTGAATAAATCATGGGGTAATTTTCATTTTTGGGTGAACTATTGAACTATCCCTTTAAGAGGTTAAAGCTTTGACAAGGTTTTTTGAACATTAAAGCATGTCAACTGTGGCGAGGGGGGCCGTGGTTCAGCGAGGTCTGCATCGAGAGAGAGAGGCAGGAGACGAGCGATGCGTAAGTAGGTCAAGCGCAAATAATAAACACCTGTGTCTTGTTTCAGTAATTGGTGTGGATAAAAGGGGCCACCTGGAACATGATGAAAGAGAGAGACTGACTGGGAACGCGAGCCACCCGGGGAGACGGGTGTAGATACACGGAAGCAAGTTGTGTTATGTTTGTTATGAGTTATTGACTGCGAGTCTGACAGCACTGAATGAGCGCCGTATTGTGGGTGGTGCAAGAGAAATTTAAATAAAGCTCGCGTCCCAGCAAGCCGACCCTGCCTTCTTCCTTCCACACTCTTGAACCTTTACTACAATAGCAAAGTCTCCTCTTGGCTTATATCGAAATCCTCCGACATTTTTCTTTACAAATCCTCACTTTGTACTTCTAATTCATGACCAGTCTTTTGTTTTGCTCCAGGACATTTATCAACTCCAATTGTATTTATCTGAAAGAAGGAAGGCTTAAGGGTGAATAAATCATGGGGTAATTTTCATTTTTGGGTGAACTATTGAACTATCCCTTTAAGAGGTTAAAGCTTTGACAAGATATTCTGATTTACACATAATAACTGTGACTGATCTAATATGCTAAACAAACTTTTCAATTTACCTGAATACATAATCAGAAGAGTCAATCTCCTTTCCTAGCCTGGAGCCATTGAGAATGCCACAAGTCCCAACAACAGCACAGGGAATACAGCCATCCTTCGCTCTTGTGGGTACTTGTAGTAACTGGGTAGATGCAAGTTTAGGGATGGTGTCAACAGCTGCTTTTATGGCTATAAAAATTAGAAAATAGTGCATTATTCTAGAACCATGTCTTAATAAACCATCTACATTATCACATTTATGCTTTCTGATTAAACAAACCTGTGTAATTGAATCCCATATAGCCAAAGGGGTTGTTTAAGTGATAAAGCCGGTTCCACTCACTCATGTTGACATGATCACTTTGTAAAAACAGCTGAATGTTTGGAATAAATTTCTCCTTATACACAGGATTAGAGGAATTTCACAAGGACACCATGCATTCCTGAAAAACATATTGGAAATGCCTTAAACTCTGTAAAGCCTGACAAATTAAAAATGGTCTGAAATGTTTCATATGTTTTACGCTTTGTATCATATTATCAGGCTTTACGCTGTGTTTCGTTGTGAAAGCGAAACTACTTTGTTTGGCCTTCTAAAAGAGGACGATATCCACTTCGTCATGCCTAGAGCTGATCCGTGCTGGTCGCTGAGGAAATACTTCAACTTCGCGCTGTGGATCGCCGGATCTGTTTTCACTGTGGACGAAGCGGAGTCCAGCCTGGGCTCGTCACATGTGGTTGCTGCACACCCACCGGCCGCTCCTTCGTCGAATCCGCTGGCCACGCCTTTCTCAGGGCCGCCGGCCTCCGCTCACTCAAGCCCGCCGTGTGTGACACTGTGTGACGCATTTTATGGAAGACTGTTTCCTGAACCTGCAGAGTAGCATACAATGGGTCTGTGCTCAAAGGCTGTTATATAAAGTGGGGAAATCAGAATATTAGAATGATTTCTGGAAAATCATGTGACAGTGAAGACTGGAGTAACGGCTGCTGAAAATGCAGTTTTGCCATCACAGGAATAAAGTACATTTGAGCATATATTCAAATAGAGAACAGCTGTTTTGAATTGTAATATTACACAATATTAGTGATTTTACTGTGTGTATTATTTGTTTTGATCAAATAAATGAAACCTTGGTGAGCGTAAGAGACTTCTTTTAAAAACATAAAAAAATCTTAACCTCTTTTGAATGATAGTGTACAGTTGTGTAGTATATTTATATTAATAATTCTCAATGATGAACACAGCAGCACAGTGTATTTGAAGTGAGTTACCTGCATGCAAAATTGTAAAATATACTGACCTCATCTTGTGGAATATTGTGAAAGCCATACTGTTTTAATGTCAGAATGGATGCATATAAGGAAAAAGCTGTATGTACATAGACTGATGTTCTATTTCCAACATCCTCCTCGTAACCTCGAGTAACAGCTCCATTTACTCTGTTTAAGAATAATACACACAATTTCAGAATACACACAGTCATGACCTCAGAATAACTGTTATTGTAGAATCTGTTATTGGCATGCATTATCATTAACATAACTAATTCATTCAGTTGTCAACTCTACCTTAGCCATTTTTTACAAATCTAATTTTATTTTAAAACATTTACTCTTACCGAAAAACGTAATCATGGGAGTCTATCTCTTTGCCCATCTTTGAGTTATTGAGAATGCCACCAGAGCCCACAACAGCACAGCGGATACAGCCATCCTTTGAACTTTCAGGCACAGGCAGTAATATTGAATACTTAGGCTTTGCCCGTTTCCATTGTTTAGGTACAGTGCGCCAATGACATAAAGCTAATAATGACCTACTGCACCCCTTTCTCAAACATATTCAGGATTCTATACACCCATATTTCACCAGGAATGATCTTTAATTTGCCTTAGGTTATCACCATTGTACTTGTATTCCATGAAGCCGAAGGGATTGTTGAAGTGTGCTAATCGATTCCATTCTGTTATGTTGAGTAGACCTTTGTACAGCCACAGCTGAATGTCAGGAAGTGTCGCCTCCTTGAACTTGGGATCCTCTTTGTTTTGAAGGGACTTTGGACAGGTCTACAGAAAAGGTGATTTTTCAAAGGATCAAAATGACTGCACAACTTCACAATGAGAATGGTATTGGAAAAGTAGCACTTACAGGTCTTCTTGCTTCATTGTTTCGCAAATAAACATCTTCGAAATCCCACACTGGAAGTTTTGTAAAATTGTTCCTATAGAGGACCGGAATAGGTGTTATGTTGACTTCTTGCTCAGTGGGGTAAATGGGTTTTTCTGTTTTGTACAAACTAGTAGTTCCAAGTGGTGATAAAATGATGACAGTTTTGCTAATTAGGAGGCAAGTGTTTAGCAAAAACAGGAATAAACGTCTTGTGGTAATCCAGACCAACAAATATTTCACAAAACAGTATTAAAACCCATATACAAGTTATTAGAATATCATAATTACACCATAATTACACATTTTTAAAATATTTAGCTAGTCGTTTTCTTACCCGTGAAACTGTTCTGAGAGAGTAATCCAAAACACTAGATAGAGCAGCACGCAGCAAGTCAGAATGAGACTAATAGCAGTCCAATTTTTCTGCATATTTCAAGACCAATTTCCACTCATATTATCAGTCTGGCCCTATTCATGTGCGTTGTGCACTGAGTGAAAGAATTTACTGTTTGTAACAGTGTTTTATAATCTACCTATTCAAATTCATTACATCATCAAACCAGGTGTTTATATCTGCATTACAGTCCGCCCATCGCTATGAATAATATTATTTGCCTTTGGCCAGCACATATCTATGAGCAGTGTTTAAACATAACACATTTGATAAATAATAAAAATATAAAATAAAGCAAAAAGTGTTTTTTATTAATAAAAATAAAACTAATATGCATCATTTGTCCATACAAGTAACTTAAAGAAGCACAGTGTCACTACGTAAGATAGACCGCTGACAGCTAGAGTGAGTAATACTAGCTGATTTTGAATTTTATTTCAGTTTAGTTCATACTGTATTTAACATGGTTTGAACTGACATGCACCATAACCATTAATTGAAGCTAAAGCACAAATAAAAAGAAGACAAAAAGACTAGTACTTAATTTTCTACTGAACGTTTCCAGATTTTTTGGTTCCTCATTACTTATAACAAAGAGTGAAAAATTTAGGGGGGTCTGAATACTTTCCGTACCCACTGTATAATAATGACCAATAAATGCATATAATATACATATAAGTCATAAACAAACCCTTTTTTCACACAATCAGATATTTCAGGGAATAGGTTCACTGAGGTCACTGATTTCAACTTGAAAACTCCTTTAAAATGGTATTTGAATCTATCATTTGAATCTAGACAGTGTTTGCCAGTACAGTCTTATCTGCTGATCTGTTAAACAGAGTAGAGTTTAAGCTGTTCTTGTAAATCGCTCTCTGTCACCTCACCAAATGTGTCTTGTTTGTCTTTGAGCAGCTGGAAGATGGCAGCTAACTGCTCTCGCTGAACCCTGAAACAAAACATGTACACTTTATTAAACACAAATCTCAGATGTTCAGTTTGTAAATTAATATCTACGGTTGTGGCAGTAAGCTTAGAGTAAAAAGACAGTCAGTCACTGCTGGAAAGGGTTCAAATATGCCCGAATATGCTTACGATTCTGGAAAACCAAAGAAAGTGCAGGACCTGGAGGATTTTTCTGAACAACAGTGTGCAGTTTCACATAGGACTTATGAACAACTATCGCATAACATCAGAAAACAGTCATTGATCAACCAGGTAGCAATACACAGTATTAAGAATTAAGTGTACTGTGTGTACATTTTTGAATGGGGTCATTTTTAAAAAATTCAGCTATTATTTTGTCTTGTGGAACATGCAATTTTTATGATCCTCTTATTTTGATATTATTATTAACATTTTGCAGATTCATTTTGCAAGGTCTATGTAAACTGCAACTGTATAATGATGTTAGACACTTGAACTGACGTTGCAGAGATTTTAATTTATTAGTAGCCTATTTATATATATTAATGCAAAGTGATGTACAAATGAAGAATAAAACATGAGCAGTTTAATTTAGCTGAGATAGAATAATAAAATTATTTTATATCCTATCCAAATAATAAATGATGTGAATTCACATTCGTACAGGTATGACGTTCTTATCCGGGATTAAAGGAACAATAGGCAAACAGAAAACTCGAATAGCCTGAAACCTTCAGTCTGTAATGATGAGTTTATCTAACATAAAGATAAACTGTAAACTGTAACTGTTAACACACTGAGGTGTGTTAAAGCGTATGCTGTTCAAACAGAAAATGCATTTTGTTTACTTAGTTGAATAATCAACAAATGCCAAATGTTAATGCAAGCAGGAGCACATTTTATACTATGGAAGAAGAATATTAAAGTGAACATGCTTGACAGAACTGTTTGCAGACTATTTAAGAAAATTTATTTCAAAATGTTTGTTATGGGTGGAGGGAGTGAATACAAACTGATTGTTTGTATGGGTCATAAATCATCAAGATATGAAAACACATCCTGTGAGTCTCTGAGAACAAACTAGAAAAGCAAAATACAAAGTAAACAAGGGTAAGACTTGATGAATTACTCAAGGTGAACCTTACACTTTACACATGGTGCATTAAACTGATCAAACGTGACAGTAAAGACATTTATAATCAGTGTTGCGGGTAACGCATTACAAGTAACATGGGTTATGTATTCAGATTACTTTTATAAAGTAACTAGTAATGTAACCCATTACTTTTTAATTTAGAAGAAAATATCGGAGTTAATTTTTTTAATATGTAAAGCCAGTTACTTTGTTTTACCATTTATTGACTGACAGCTCTCCTGTCCCCATGTTGAGAGAAACCGGGAGTAACTAAGTGCAGCGGCATTGTGATTAAATGTCAACATACATTTACTCATCTCATGTGCACAAAAACAGATTCAGTATTCGTCGAAATGAATAAAATCAGTGAAGTGCATACCTGCAACAATTAAATATGTTAACACAAAAATAATTTTTGTATTTAATCCCATTTTATTAACCAATGGCTTTACTGCACACCTTCGATGATCCAATTCGAGAATACTATTAAGCAAAAATGACTTTAGATAAACATAACATTTGTGTTTCTTTGTGATTGAGAAGAAAAGAGTTATAGAATCCTAGAAAGCATACTATTTTTTTTCCATGCAATCCTGAATGGCAGCACAACTGAAAGGAATGTTTCAACATTTTTGAATTTACATTTCCTTCAACCTGAGGGAATGAAAGGGCTTTTACATTTGCCAAAAATATAACTTTTTATATTAAAAACAAGCAAGCAAGCCCAGTCCAGATGACAAAAAGTAACGCAAAAGTAATGTAATGCATTACTTTCCATAAAAAGTAGCGCAATTAGTTATTTTTTTAAGGAGTAGGTCTAACGCAATATTATAATTCATTACTTTTAAAGGCAGGGTAGGTGATTTGGTTTAAAAAAAAAATTTGTTATGCTGGTTGAAAGTCCCTTCACATCCCGATCACTAAGTTAAGTGGTCTAAATTAATTTTTTTTTATTTATATCACCTGTGGAAGGTTTAGGACCACAAAATGTACGTCCAATCAAAATCTTTGGTCCAAAGATTACGATAGGCTGTCCTACCTGCCTGTCAATGTATGTATTTGCATACCTCTGCATGGGGCGGACTTACCCATTAGGCAAAGGTAGGCGACCGCCTTGTGCCCCCAAAAGCCAAGGGCCCCCTAAAATGCTTTTCATATAGGATATGCGCATTAAGCGCGGACATGCGAATGTTTGCTGTTTACGGTGTTTATTATCACGACAACCGTTCGAGTCTGTGGCTTCTGCAGGTGTACGGCTGTACGCACTGTGAGTACCATGAGCGCTCAGACTGATCTGAGATTTGCCCTGCAAATATTTCAGCAGTTATTATAGGCCTGTGTGTCCCGTATTTCTATCGACTGAACCCATGCCGTTAATTATGAATTTATCAGTCTTTTGCATGCCAAAGTCAATTTCTGTATAGAAATATTACGCCAAATAGAAGCAGAAAATCGTGCTATACGCACTTTCATGAGATCGGGTTAGCCTACAACAATGAATTTGTTGGCTAGTTTACAAATAGGAATACAACAAATTCATGACAATGTTTAAATTCAAGCTACCCGTAAAATTTATAGTGAAAAGTGCTGTTTTGTTCTCATCTGTGAGCATGCTCTTGATATATGTATTTTAGGTGTGTAAATGTATAATTGCCTTTTCATTATTTTTTCAGATTTATTTAAATTTGTAGTTAAAACAACTAAAAAATAAATGTATTTTAAAGTTTAGAATTAGACAGCCTTTGCTTGATATATGTATTTTATGTGTGTAAATGTATAATTGCCTTTTCATTATTTTTTTCAGATTTATTTAAATTTGTAGTTAAAACAACTAAAAATAAATGTATTTTAAAGTTTAGAATTAGACAGCCTTTGCACACAGGCTTACGCTGAAAACAGGAAAATGTGTGCAAATGTATAGGGCCCCATTCCTATATGGACTCGGCTCGGTACGGCTCAGTACGGCACGGCACGGTTCGGCTCACCACGGTTTGCGTTTCCACTGCAGTTCAGTACCGCTTTAGAGTGGGTGGGATTATTCACATGTCGTTATAATGGTTGCGCCGCCTCTACTACCACGACTCCTAAAAAAACGTTTTCATTCCGCGTCACCCCATCAAGCTCTCGCTGGATCCGCTCCTCAGCTATCAACGAGAGGAACGTCTGTTCTTCCGCAACAGACAACAAAACTTTTTGGTTGTTAAAAAAAAGGTGTGCTTGTTCAAAACAGTTGCATTCGATTCTTCGCTGGCTGTGCTGATTTAAATCTAGCGGTTCTGTTGTGTTTGTGTCGCAAATTCAGTGATGCAGGTAGTGACGAATCTCTCCAGCCAATCCGTGAGTTTACACGTCACGTTTTGGTAACGGTACGGTTCACTTGAGTATATTCACAATTGATTGTCTCTGTGTGCTGCTCACAATTCGAAGTCACTGAATGTTTGATCCCTTGCTACATGCTAAGTTAATGCTAGTACTGTATGCAGGAAAGTTATTCTTTCTTGGCCAGGAAAATAATCTTTCCTTGAATTGATAAATGATTATATTGTCTGCTTGGTGGACGGACAGATCAAATAATTGTAATATTGATTCTGCTACAGTTAATTCTAAGATCTAATCTACATATTTATTATTAATCATAACCAGTTATAATTAGTAATAAATATTTCCCTTTTGAGCTGATTTACTACATTATAATATTGTGCACTTTATTCTGTAATGATTTCTCATCGGTGTATGGAAGGATATTGCGGACTATTTTCAAAAGGAATTGCAAATTGTATTTTCAATTGCATTTTCCATATGTGGGCACATAAATTGTGACATAATCCAAACGCAATTGCCAATCTTGCATTACCATTTGCGTTTTTGCTTTTGCAAATGCACAGTGACTGTCGAATTTCAAATGGAAAAGCAAAGTCCTTTTGCAACTGTATTTCCCATGTCTTATGAGTATGACATATTTAAATAGCAACATTAATTACCACGTCTGCTTTTTCACTCTCTCTGTGTTGCGCAAGTAACCTGCCAAAACTCACTTGGAATCGCAATTCCTTCAGCATTTGAATTTTCGATGCCTTGCACAGAAACCTGTCAATCAGTGTCAGGGGTGCGACTATTCTATGGGGCGTGCATGTATTGGGAAGTCACTCATAATAGGTCAAAATTCACCATTAACCAAACTTTTCACCTTCCTCAACATCTCTCACTGTTTGCCCTCCAATTGATGCACGTGAG